AAGGGGGAAATTCTTGAAACGTTCCTGTTTATAAGTATTGTTGAATAAGAAAATTCAGAGGAACAAGCGAGCTCATAACCTTTCTATACGAAACTTGAAGATGTGGAGCTAGTAAAAGTTTAAGCATAAAAGCTCACAGAGAAGAAAGGCAAACTGATTCCATAAAATTCCACATAGGAAGAAACTCTTCAACCCAGTATTCAAATACGCATGGTTAAGTGTTTAAAGTATGATTTCAAGGCCAATGAATAAAGGAGACATAAGATGGTGAATAAAATGTGAGTACCTATCAGAATTAGTTAGAAACCCACCATTAAATGACAGGAATGAATTTAATAAAAGGGCCCAACTGCCCTCAAGACCCTCAGGGAAATCTATAAATAGTCTCGCCTAGAAGGATAAATGCATGCAAACTAAAATATCTTCCTCCTCAATAGTCATTTTCCCTCCTTGTTGAGCATCAAACACTGTGAATTTAGGAGGAAAAAATTTCTGGTTTGGTGAGAGGAGTTTGTTGATAATAACTTTGTTGTCAATAAGTATAAGCTTGCAATAAGAAAATTTGATCATTGAATACCAAGAATGACTATTATGATCTTGTTGTCTGTTGACAAGCTTGAAATCTAAAGCAAAGAAAGTAAAACATAAGAAGAGATAATTTTCAATGATACTTTAATGGATAAACATAACAAAAAATTAGAAGATCCAATAATGTTGACTTTGTAATGAGCATCTATAAAGGTTGAACCCCAACCTTGAGGGCCCCCACGGTCCCACCCCTAGAGCTTTGTGAGGGAGGTAAATCGTAGGATGTGTCCCAGCAGGCCAGGGAACAAGAGCTGCCTGTACACTGCGCCTACAAGGATTCCAATTCCATGTCTCAGGAATCGAACCCCCACACTGCGGCTGCCAGCAAGGCATGAGATAACTTTACTCTTGTCCTTTGCACCACTGGACTATGCCCCGGGGGACTTGTAATGGGCATCTATAGTTATACTGACAATTGGCCATGCAGTGGCTCCCGTCCCTGTGTCAATTTAAGTAAAGGAACTTCCATTTCAATCTTTTTGGCTAGCTAGTTGGTGATCCTCCCTAAGCAGTAAATAAACCTTGTTGTTAATCTTAAAATGATATGTAGATAGGTTGTACTCATGATTCATTAATTGGAGAAAGAACTTGTGCTAATGAGGGAAAAAGTCACAATAAAATACCTTTTAGTTCAACATGTATCTCCATATGTAAATGACTGTGCGGTTTTTCGAATTTGTGGGCACTTCTGCTAGGATATGTCTAAGAGATTTTCATTTGGTTGGATTGGCGAGTTGAGGAAATTATACCTTGTCAAATTCAGTTTTTTATTGGAGCTAATAGTTGTAAAAACATACCCAAAAGATGAAATTCCTTTTTTTCTCAACAAAATTCACGAGTTTACAGATATCACAAAGGGTTAATGCGTTTACACAATTGCTTTTTTATCTAGCTAAGTGCTAAGCTACAGGTGTTGATGTTTTGCATATCATAGTTACAAGAGATCTTACTCTTTTTGTGCTATGCCTTTAGTTTTGCAAAAGAAAGCAGAGAAGTTTGAATTGAAGAAATTACAGGGTCCAGCAGTGGCAAAGGAACGTGTATCTGCTCTTGAGCAACTTCTTCAAGATGTTTATGCCATTCGGCGCCCAAAACTGAGTGATTATGAATCTCGAAGGGACTTAATTCTAGTGTTTAATGAAATTGCAAAGGAGTTAAATGGTAATACTTCATGCTGAATTTACTTACACGACCTCAACATTAGAAAGGAATTCCCTTTGTTATATTTGCTTCTTGTTTTAATTTTCTAATAATCATGGATCTTTATTCACAATGCTTTACATTTTATTTTATCGAGATGATTATTCGTTGACCAGAGAAATCTGCCTATCTTATGGATTACATTCTTATCAGGGTGGTTGTTTGATCCTTTTCTTTTCAGGATATTCAAAAGTGACTCCTATTGTGGTGGAATTCGGTTCTTTCTTAATGGATCTCTTTAGCACAACAAGTGATTTAGATCTCTCTGTGAATTTTAGCTCTAATGCAATTGAATTTCCGCGCGAAATGAAGATTCAAACTCTGAGGAAGTTTGCAAAGAAACTATATGCTCTACAAAGTAAAAATTTTAGATTGTATTTTTCCTGGTTTTTTTTATTCATATTTTATTACTTATATAATTATATTGAACTTGTTCATTTCTTAAACTGCAAATTCTGAAGGTAATTTAGGCTTCAGAAATCATAGGTATATTTATCTTCTAGGCAAATGTATTATATTGAACTTGTTCATTTCTTAAACTGCAAATTCTGAAGGTAATTTAGGCTTCAGAAATCAGAGGTATATTTATCTTCTAGGCAAATGTATGTGTAGTTTGCCATTTCTAATAGTTAGGTGGCATTTTTAGTTAAAAAGCCATGGAAAGAGCAGTTGGGGAAAAAAAATAAAAAAGAGTATAGTGAAAGCTAGATCCATAATATTCATGACTTGTATCCTGTGACAAATTTACAAGGGAAAAAAGTTGAAGGTCATGGTTGGAAAACAACAGCGTTATGATTATCCTGAAGACAATGAATTTTAAATAGGGTTTGAAGGATGTAAGAAATCTAATTGACTAACTGGAAAAAACGCGGAGCCATGGATCTCACTTTCCTATGGAATTTCTGTGTATATCATTTAGTCCATTATAATTTTGTAAAAATTTTTGTTTTACTTTTAGCTCACTGATGCATTGATAATATACTTATATTTTTCGGCTCCTATCGAGTTCTATCTTGTAAGTCAAGAACTTATGTTCTAGATTTCGTAGGCATATACTGGGCGGCAATATGTAACAGAAGCAAAGATCATTTGAGATATTATCTTTTCTTTCTTATCATTTCTAGGCTTAATGATAAATCTAAGACTGGGTAATACTTAACAGAGGCAGAGATCATTTGAGATATTATCTTTTCTTTCTTATCGTTTCTAGGCATAACAATAAACCTAAGATGAAAGAATAAATTTAGAAATTTTAATAATTACATGATAAGAAGATAATTGGGGGATCTGTAACAATACTTGGGGCATTTGAGTGGTTATGCTTCCTATTATTTCAGGTGAAGATTATCTCACGCGTTTTGTGAGAAATGGTACTTTACTTGGCTGTTCAGAATTCTATGGGTTCGTTTACAAAATAGCTCCTGATTTGTTGAATTATTATTCTTCTTCTTCTTCTTCATCAAACTTCTATGTTAAGTTTTACTGATCCTCTCTGTCTCTCTTACTATTTTAGTTCTCCGATTTTTGTAATCTTTTCCTATCAAAAGATATGATGGAAACTAAGTAGTATTGAGAAGTAGCTCCTTCAAGCAGTAACTTATGTTCTATTTGGTTAAGTTCCATGGATTGGTAGATGGCTTTCACTAGAATTATAACAGTAGTTGCTATTACTAATGAAGACTTCATGTTTCTACCTTCTTAATTCTCCTTGTATTGTTGATCAAAAAATAAGAAATGGTACTTGGATGCATCTTATATCTGTATTGGTGTTCTCCAGGTAAAGGGCATGTTTATGGTGTTCTCCCAATCACAACTGCCAAGGTGCCTATTCTGAAAGTTGTTGAACGAGGAACTGGAGTTGAATGTGATATATCAGTTGAAAATAGGGATGGAATCTTAAAATCCCAGCTTATCCACCTAATTTCCTCAACTGATGAGGAGAATCATTTAAATACTCTACTTTGGGAACTAGAGGAAAGACTGCACACCTCAATTTTGGGAACTAGAGGAAAGACTGCACACCTCAATTGCCTTGAGCCATGTCCGCCTTAGTTGAATCGTAAGCCTCGACAACTTACACCATGGTGCATGTTTTGAAGCAATTATCGAAAGCCTGGCGAGTCTTAAGATTTCAAGTCTCGGGCACATTTTAAAACCGTGCATTGGATCACATAACAAGATATGCAAGCATGACAAGCTCGGGTAAGCATCTCTAGGTATTTCACAAGGGAGTTGATTCTAGCTTAAGGCCTAACTGTTGTAAAGTAATATCTTTGCCATCTCATTTACTCTGGGGTTTTTTTTTAAATAATATTTCCTGTGTCTTTAAGATTTTCATATCTTTTTATGGATTCTGTTGTGTACTAGGTCATATATTGTTTATAGTCCATTCACCTTGCAAAATTTGAAGTGAAGTCCTTGGAGCTCCTTCTATACAGCACGCTGACACTTCTTTTCCAATTTTCTTTTCACCAATCACTGCCCTTCCACAGTCTCTCAAGGCAAAATGTTGAAGCGTTATGTATTAATTGGTTTTGAGTTAAAGAAATTGGGAGCATGAACAGTAAATAAGATCACGGAGGATGCGAGATCGGAAACTTAAATATAACTCTAATGGAAGTCAAGCAAATAGTTTTTAGTCAAATAATTCTCTTAACCCCGGATGAAAGTATCACTTTATAGGACTAATAGACTTCCGATATCATAAGAAGACTAAAATAAGATCAGGTATATCTAATAGATGTGTAATTACATTATAAATCTTTCTAAGAGATTCCATAAAATGCTCTGCAGATGAAGCTTAATTGATAAATGGAGCCTGAACACCAGACCATACTAAAATAATGGGAGTGTCTCTGGAACATCCTGACTGACACACTGCTAACGTGATAGATCTCTGCAAAATATTATTTGTGGAAACATAACTAACAGGCATTAAAACACTCGAAGCTTCCCAACCCAATCCATTCAGAATACTGCTTGCCATTTTTCCTTATGTTTGGTTAGAATTTGAATTTTCAGATGCATCTAAAGATGATCGTACATATTTTCCTCAGATGTCTACTAGATTGCTATGCTTAAAAATCTTGTGTAGATTTATTTTTCTTGAAATATAATGATCAATGCAATGTTATCTAATTGGCACTGTCCATCTCAGCAGATGAAAACCTGGGCAAAAGTGCAGAACATTAACAGTTCAAAAGATAAAACCTTGAATTCTCTCTCCATAATACTGTTGGTTGCTTTTCATTTGCAGGTAGAGTTTTGGATATTCGTAATTTATACATTCCTTATATTTAACAATTTCTTTAATTATTTGTGCATCTATAAGTGGTATGTTATTGTTAGATTATGTTGCAGTTTTTTTTTGAATGCATCTCAAGAAGCTTAGATGAACCTTGAAATGCTGCTTCGGTGTTGGATCGGGGTAGGGGTGGTAAATGTGGGTCAAAAAAGTAAAAGAGGTATAAATTTGTTGTGTGGTGAAAGTTCTCTGAACTTTGCATGATATTTTTAGAGTTAAATTCTACACCTGTTCACTGTTTATTTTGATTCATAATCAATGTACGGCTAGAGTAATCTTATTTATATTTTACTGGGTGGTAAATGATATTTAATCTTCTATTAGTTGGGAGACATAATTTCCTGGTCACATCTACGGCATGTTGTACATTGCAGACAAATATGGCACTTCTTTTTAACAGTGTTGATTTGTTCTGAACTCGTACAACATTCATTTCTGGATATATTTCATTATTTGCTACTGCCATGTAGCAAAATTGTTTAAATGCTCAATCTTTATAATGCATAAGTTAACCTTAATTTGTTAAAGAGTTTCCAGGTTTTTAATTTAATTCTTCTTCTCGAGTTTCCAAACAGTCGGTGGATTAAGTTAGGTTTTGAGGTGATTAGCTTTCGGTCAAGTTTTCCAGCGACGGCGAGGTTGTCGTATTTTAAGCTGACCTTTCTCCCTTCTAAAACAAAACAAATAAGAAAATTTACGAAACTTGCATCTACTTGTAAACTAACTTACACATCTTTTTCCAATTGAAAATCCATACGTTCCGACTTCATTCAACTTAATAAGCTTAGAAGAACCTTGGAACATTTTTTCTTAAATACTTGTTAAATTAAAAAGAAACTGAATGTCATCTCGCCTGAAACTTGTCTGGACCTTGCACGTTATGTTTAGAGTTAGATTTTATACATCTTTTGTTTGGTTTAGGTTTAATATGCAATATACTATCTTTTTATGTTTAATTGGGCAATGAATGGAATTCAATCTTTCATTATTTGTTGTTCATGATTTCTAGTCACATCATTTGAACTTGTAACTATGTCTCTAATACAGAAAGTATCCACATGCCACATAAACAAATCATATATTGGTTGTTTGGTTTGTGGTGAACGTGTACCAACATTAGATTTGGGCATGTTCCATTATGTGCTAACATTCTACCTGTCAATACCCTTCAATTTGATGTCTCTCCCATCTTTTGTTTATAGCAGACTCGGAAGCCACCTATATTACCTCCATTTTCTGCTATATTCAAAGGTATTTCCTTGTGTTTTTTAGTTAATTGATTTTGACTACATTTCTTGTATCGTTCCGTGCTAAATAACATTTTCAACTTTTACTTTCAAATGCAATATTTTTGTGAGCTTGTGTTATAATTGTTTGTCATATGACAAAGTCGTGTTTAATTTCTTAGTTTCATCACATATTAGCTACATATCTATGTTGTTTAGAGTGAATTTTCAATATGGACAGACCCAAAGAGTGTTAGAAGTCATGTTTGAGGCATTTCTCATGCCATCAAATATGTGTCACAGTTCAATTGGCTAAAGAGTGGAGGGTGCCTTTGAGTTCAATTGCTTTTGGTTTAATATGGTATCAGACAATGACACGAGCTTATTTTTGTCCTTCAATTTTTGTTTGGAAAAACTGTGGCATCTTTACACAATAAGCTCATTAAAAGAGCTATTTGCAGAATAGGGAGATCTATGTATTTTACAGAATGATATTAAACTTGTAATGCTTTATAGTACTCAGTTCACATTGCTAAATTGCACAATGTCTATAAGATGAGTATAGCGAAAATGAGGATATAAGTTGGATGTGTGGTCATATTATAATGGATAAAAAAAGAAATGAGATATACGGCAACAAATGGATGTCACACCGCTGAGGATCAATTAAGAAAAAGATGACTTAAATGGTTGGAACACGTCTTTGCATAAAATTAAAGGGGATCCTGTTCATAAGATTGATGTAAACATAGTAGAATAGATTAGAAGGGGAGGAAATGGTTTGTTGTAGTTGCTAAGTATCTATTTATTTTGGATCTTTTTGTAGCTCTATCATTCTAGCAATAAACCAAATGGAATGACAAAAGAGGATTTATGTAGTTTACTCCAAATTCTTTGGGAGTAAGACTTAAAGTTTTTGTTGTGTGGTTGTGTGTTCTAGGAAGGGCTGCAGTAGAATCTTTTTTCCTTCTTTTACGTAAGGCATGACTAATGTAGTGACGTATCCTTTCAAGTGAGTTTTCAAGGAAATTTGGGTGGTTAGAGCTTTGGTACTACTATGTGCAAGGACTTCTGTCACCTTTCTTTGTCATCATACGTGTCACCGAAAAAAGGTTCTAGCCCTCATCGATAGCCTGGAATCTAGAACACTACTCCCTAAAACTGCTGCAGCACCTCCAGTAATTCAATATAATTTGTAATAGTTGCTGATAAAGGATACACTGTTCACTCTGCTTCTCGGTCTTTGACTTTTGTTGACTCAAAGAATGTTACAAATCTACTGTTCACGAGCTCTTGTTTCTTGGTCATCTTTGCGATGTTAACTGGCTTTATGTGCTGTATGTAGATGGTGCTGATCCTGCGACATCACTATCTAATTTTGTAACCTATGGAAAAAGTAATAAAGAATAATTGGTTGAGCTCTTTGTGACTCTGCTGATCAAGGTAGCGCTTACACCCTCGGTGATAATTAAGTTATTTATTTTGGTGGTGCTTTTTTCTTAATCGAAATTGACCTTTATTCTGTTACCTTTGCAGTTATCTTCTGTCCAAAATATGTGGCCCAAAGGTCTCTGTGTAAGCACATATGAAGGATCTTGGACGTCCAAAACATGGAATTCTAAAGTTGCTTGTATCAGTGTAATTACACTTTGTTGCTTGAGTTTTTATGCTCTTGGAAATTTTTTAAATACATAGTAATTTTTAATCTTCACAGGTTGAGGATTTCAGTGATCCATCTCAAAATGTTGCTAGGGCAGTAGGACATGCAGAAATAAAACATATCTTTGAATGTATTAACCTTTCTACCCCGCATGTCTTGTCCTTCATGGATGGCCAGATTGGAGAAGTTGAATTGAAGGAATTTTTGTTTGGCCATGATGGCATAACTATCTAATGTCAAACAGGTACTTCAAATTCTCACCAAATTGCATCATTGCGTAGCATTCCCTCTCAATTGAACCAGAGGAAAAGAAATAGAAACGAGGAAGGTGAGGAAGCAAGAAAGCAAGCTCTGCCTCCAGACCCTATCTGCACGAAGAGAATAGCCTCCATGCACGATTTTGCAGAAATGCCTTCAGGGAGTTGGAGACAAGTCGAGCGAGCTATGCCATTTGAAACTGGCTGGACGAAAAAGATTCAGTCTACGGAAGGTTGGAGAGTGATGTCTGATGATGTTTGGGAAGGTACAAAATATGCTATGCCTTCTGATCCTAGAAATGGGCAGCAACTTATGAGAGGTTGGGATGGAACTCAGCACTCTGGTGCAGGGCTTTAGGGTAGGGTCCATGCCAAAGGCTGGGTTGGAACTCGAGAACCTGTTTTATGATGTTGGGGTGGGGTCGATGCTGAAGGCTGGGAAAGAACTCGGGAACATGTTGTAGAAGGTCGGGATCGGGTGGATGCTGAAGGTTGGGGAAGAACTAGGTAACCAATTGCAGGAGATCGGGATTGGGTGCATGCCGAAAACTGGAGAGGTACTCAGCAACCCGTTGCAGGAGGTTGGGGTGAGGTGTGTGCGCCAAAGGCTAGGGCAGAACTCGGCAACCAGTTATAGGAAGTTGGGGGTGGGAGCGTGATGAAGGCATGGGTGGAGCTCAACAACCTATTACAGAAGGATGGGGTGGAAGTATTTCCTATAATCCCATTCGAATAAGAAAATCGGACTACAGGGGCTTTTAAGGGAACATACGATTGAAATTGCAATCCCAATCCTTTGCTTCTAGTTGCAGTCACCACCTTTGATGTTCAGACTCTTAGAAATGGTTGGAGTACCCGTGTCGGATACGACACGACATGGGTATGGGTATGAGATATATATTGGATTCTCTAAGTTTCAATCGGACACTTCGCCTTTTTTCCTTCTTTCTTTTTTCATTTTTTTTTCTCTTTTCCTTTTCTACTCTCTATAAACCTAGCGCCACCTTCAAGAAGGGGGAGAAAGGCGATGGCGCTAGATTTTCCCTTCTTCGTTCTTTTTTCTTTCCCTCTTCTTTTCTCCGTTTTTTTCCTTCTTTCCCTCTCTGTATGGATGTTTAGGATTTTGTTTGTATAAAATGAAAATGGGTTTCATATAATACTACTTAGTACTCCACTAAATTCAAATTGCAATCAAGTTTCTCATTTTTATTTTATATAACATTTAGTAATTAACTTCTTATAATTGAAAACTAAACCCCAAAATTTTATTTTATTTGTCTTTACCCTTTACTTAATACTGTTTTCTTGTTTGTGAACAATTGATTTTGGTCTATTCAAAATAACATCTTGAGTTAGTAAAAATATTGAAGTTTCAAAGACGTACCCCACGTACCCGTGTCCAAAATTTGGATTCTTTTTAGCCAGTCTCTGTATTTTACATTTTAGAAAATAAAAGATTCGATACTTAGATACGTACTCATACCCGATACTTGTACTGGAGTCTGAGCATCATAAGTCAGCATTCAGGTATCCAAGTGTATACTGGTTTAGTAAAATTTTCATGATTTTGCTCCAAATGTCAAGCCTCCTACATTCTCTTAATTGAAAGATTGATGATGGAAACCTCCAAGTCGGTTAGAAAAAATCACTTGGCTTTAAATCATGTGTGAATGTGTGGAAAATAAAAGTTTTGACTGGTGATTAATTGCTTAGAAAGGGGCACCTGCAAGATATGCGTAGAAATGTAGTCTCTTAACCTCATCCTTATTGGTTTACTATCCTATGAGGGCCATGTTTTCGTTGTTCATCGTTCATCATCTTATTCTTGTATGGTCACTTTGAATGAATTGAACCATCTTTGTATCACCTGGAATTAGCCAAGAATGTCTTTTGCGCTTTGCAAAAGTGGGCTCCTGTGTTAATGTTTTAGAGATGGGGATACAACCTATCTTTATGATGGGCGTGTAGTTAAATTTACACGTTGATAGTCGGGATTTGGTATACTTTTCTTGGGGTTATGCACATTTATACACTGCAACCTGTATGTAAAGCTCTATACAGAGAAATTCTACCATCAGAAATGAAGAATGGACGGAAAAAATTGCAAATTTGTTATTATTTGATAACTTTTGAAAGTTTTGTTGATTGTTAGAGCATTCTTGATAATATATTTTCTTGTGTTCAGGGTTTTTGCTAGAAAAAAAAGTATGTTATGTGCTTTTTCTGAACGTTAATGTTTCTAATAAATAGAGAGAATTTTTTGTTTTGGAAGAATAAGTTGTTATTGACATTTTTATGTAGGCGTAAGTGTGCATGTTACATGCTAAGATGCACATTTTTATTTGTTTTGTATGTAAGTTTTAGAATGTCTGATATTTTTTGAAATAATGATTTGATGGGATAATATTCGAAGTATTGCCCCTTTAAAAAAAAACATTTTAAAATAGTGATTCAATGGAGAATGTGTGGCTAAAAAATAAGGAAACATTTTTTGTTTGTATATAATATTATTTTAGTGAAGAATGTATGGTCGAAAGGAAGAAAAAAATGTATTTTTTTGAGAAACTAAGAATCAAATAAAGCCACTAATTATACCTGCTAGTTATAGAAAATAAAATATTTTGTATGATTTATTCGGAGATGAAAATTGTGTAATTATTCGCAGCCATGGATTTTTATAACTCTTAATTACCGTATTTTCCCCCAACGATGTGGAGAAAAATAATTGTTTTTTATATGACCCTGCCAAATCTTTATTAAAAAGATCGAGTTGAATTTAAAGATATTATAGTCTATATGTTGTAGTAGTACTAGCATTAGATTCTATTTTATGTTGAAGTTAGGGAAATCAAGTTATCTATAAATTATAACCAAAAGCATGATGGTTACAAGGAAATCTTTTGCATTAGGACTACAGTGTGTACTCTGCAGGTGTAAAATGAAGTCTACTGGATCGAAAGCATGGTGGTATCCAATTTACTTTGTGAGCCATGGCTTGAGAAAAACCTCAGCTAAGTACTAGATCTTGTATCTTGACACTGGCGAAATAGATATATTTGTGAAATGTGAATTATCTGCACTTTGGCATGAAGACCTGATGAAGTTTCATTGTTCTCGAATTGGGTTGGTTTGACTCATTTCTGTACAGCTTACGTAGAAGATGAAGAAGGCTTCGTTTTGGGAGGGTTTAGCTATTAGTGATAATCATCTAGCAGAAGATGCCTCAGCCATCAGGATGATCTTACGTGTTTTTTTCATCTAATGGTAATCATTCATCGTCTTCTATTATAAAAATTCATGCCTAGTGCCATTTGAAAGTAATGCAATTTTACATTCCGTTAGTAATATTGCTCTCACATTTCTCTTATTACCTTTGATGCTCGTACACTATTGTAGACTGTAATTCCCGTCTTTTGTTCGATCCACACTCAAATATATTTATACAAGTTGATTGACTTGATCGTGGAGTGCTCACGGTCACCTCCCCTACCTTTGTTGATTGCTTTTAACAATTTTTCCAAATATGTTGGACAAATATCATGTGGACGTGAGTGGAGTCGAAATTTGTTGGCTACATCAACCGTATGAAAATTGAGGTCAAAGAAGGTGATTGTAAAAAGGTTGAATATAATGCACATTTCTAGTTGCACCATGTTTGAAGATTTGTATTGTTTTTTTTTTCCCAATTATTATTATTATTATTTTAAACAATAATTGAAGTTCTATAATATATAAAATGAGAGCAGTTATGTTCTTGAACCCAAAACAAATGGATTGGATGATTAATTATGCATCATCAAGAGCAGTAATAACAATACAAAGTAGAAGAAATTGAAAGCAAACAAGTAAACAAATTTTGGAGTTCACTCCAGAGAGCTACTTTCACTTCATACTGCTGAGGGTTTTACAGTTTTTTCCCTCACATCTATGTGCTTTATCTTAACCCAGAAAGAATATGGTTACATGAGAAATTTTGAAGCCAATTTAATATATATGCAAACTTTTAAAAATGTCATCCTTATAATACTCAAAAAAAATTGTTCACGAGGGCTAATTTTCAAAAACCATGGGCCAACGACACGATACTTACATTGAAGTATAGTGTATGGTGTAGTTAAGCTCCACGTGTCCAACAGTAGAAAACACTTATTTAATAATTAACCCAACAAACCCAAACCTTAAATAAAATAAAAATAAAGTAGAAAAGAAATTCTAATCATCTCCCACTAGAAAAAGAGAAGTCATATAGGTATAGCATTGTTGATAGCATTCTTGACAGCCATCTCACATGTAGGAATGAGGTTTGTAATTAAAATAATCGCGGACCCCACGTTATGTGAGAAGGCTGTAAATATGTACAGCATCAAGTGTCGTATGTACTGCCACCAACTGTTTCTGGCTGTGGTTATAAATGATCCACACCCCCCAAAAATCAAACATAAACGTAGCAAGTTCTCTGAACAATAGATATGTCAAAAAGGACGAAACTGGATCATTCTGGATAGGATACTTGCTCTTTATGCTTAATTACTTAATCCCTCTTGTACACCAATTCTTTCATGTTAATTTTCATTACAAAATTTGGTTCCACATAATTTGCGGCAGATTCAATCTATGCCGTTACTCTTCAAGATATGTGACATCAGCTATGAAATAACCCTCTTCTAGGAATGCTATATGAAAAACTATACAACTTCGCATGGAATAAAAGTTGAATCAACTGTATTTTAATTTTAGTTTTAATTCTTTCCTAATTGGGGCTAAAAACCTGAAAATGAAACATGCCAAAGTAGGAATAAGACGTTACATTTTTAAAAATGCCCAAAAAAATAACATATTGGTAAAGCAAAAACATAGACACGCTCCTATTTTCGTGGAAAATATTCATCTATTTGATCTGAAAAAGAAATGAAAAATCATTCCATCTTTTCATTCTCATCCCTCAATTGTCCACATTCAAACTAAATAATTTTGCAGTATGCTAGCTCTACAAGACAGATGCAGGTTACATTTTATGTTTATGTTTTATTAGTGTTACTTTATTGATATGGAGTTTTATTCATTTTATCTCATGGAGGGATTTCTTTGCAATTTCTTGAAGAATTTTTCTTTGAAATAAAAATTATTAGTAGTTCATGTTTAAGCAAAGTTTTGCTTTGCTTGGAAGAATTTTTCTTAGTCTTAGATCCAATTTCGATACCCTTGAATGACTTCGCTAAGAATCAATAAGATCTTGACTTCAACTAGTCCTCGGAATTAACTATTATGCATCAGTTGATGCTCAGTATTCCGTTGTAACGCTTTCCCAAGTTCGACAATTTTCAATTTGTGATGTTAGCAAACACTGCTTGCCGAAACAAACATAAACTACCAAGAGCTATTGGTGGAGAACCATGCTATATTACCAGGGCCTATGATTATCCTAGTAATGGCAGGTTGAATAATTAACTATTCACAAGGCTACTTTGTGCAAGAATTAAGAGTGTTTCTTAAGTGGAAAAAATGCTTCTATACTGTAAATTCTGTACTTTTTGAAGAGACATGGATCCCATTGAAGATTTTCGGTATGATATGGTCTGTACAGTTCTACACCAAAACCCAAGGGCAATCTTCATTAAAAATATATTTATGGTAAATATTTAAAAATAGTAGTAGTAGTAATAATAATTTTTTTAAAAAAAATAGAAATATTGAAATTATAAAAATTCAAAATTATAAATTAATAATTTAAAATTTTTGAATGTTTAAATTAAATGTACTCTTCTAAATTTTTTAATAGAAAATCTAGAATTATATTATCACAACTGCCTGTTTTAAAACTTCTTTTTCAATAAATATCATAATCAATTTGTTCAACATTTCTTATGACATTGTTAAGAAATGTAGTAAATTATCAATTTCACTTGAAGAAATTCTTGGCATGTACAATTTTAAATTAGTATAGTCAATAATATTCTATAAGCAATCCACACATTTAATAACAGTCCATCATTTTAATATAGTCTAGCATTTCAATTGCTTTCTGTTCTATTTCGGTAAATAATTTATCAAGTTTGTAGCTTTAAAAATAATTCTGCTAGTCTATGTAAAAATTTCATAATTTTTAGTAAACATCTGCTAGGCCAAATATGTTTTTTTCTGCTGTTATTCAATCCGTAGTTACTGAATTGCCTCCAATTGTTTTCCAAAACCAAATTTCACCATATTTGCCTAAGTTTATACAAATAACTTTACAAATTATCTTGGTTAACATCAAAGAGGTTGAACCAAGGAAAGATCAAATGTTTTTAGCGCTTCGGGTTCCGAGAATTTGGGGGCATTAGACATAGTATGATATCACTTCCGAAATTAACATCCCATAATTTTATCAATTAGAAATAACTAAATATCAAACATCATGAAATAGATTAATTCTACATTCATTATTGCATGCATGTAGTGATGCGAATGATACCAAATGATGTTCCAAGTAATTTTCCTTACTTAGCTTAAATGTGTCATTTTAAATAGTAATATGGCAAGTAAAGGTCATTTCCCTCAAAGGATTGATTCAATTTCATCAATTGCACACTAAAATGTAAAATTATTATATGCCTTATGTATGTAATCTCGTGTATCACTCAATTTGACTATTACCCTTTGTTAGTCTCACCACTCTACATTTTTTCACTCAATGTTTTCACGCCAAGTGCTTCAAAGAACAATTTCGAACTTAATCATGAATTATTCTCGTATAATTCAAATCGGGATGTGAATGAGAATTGGAATTATGGAAGACTCAATAAAGAAATAAAAGAATTGGATAATTTGGAATGGGAACTATTGTAATTAAAGAAAGTGGTTCTCGAATTTTTGTTTGGATCAAAAAGAAATAAAGTTTTTGTCTCAAGAAGATTAATGGAATGTTGGTAATTTTTGAAATAATCAAACAACAACAACAATAATAAATTTTTTTGACTTTTTTTCTGAAATTCAACTATGACACCAGAAAAAGAAATGAAAGTTCATTAGGATGCTAACTTAGCACAAAAACAACTTTTGAACCTTTGTTGGAACTTTCATAGATTGAAGACTTAAAATGGATGAAGAACACGAAGACCGCGAAGAATGAAGAGGTAGGAAAAACAAGAGACTCAACAAAAAGAAAAATG